AGCACCGAGGACACCTCTCCCCAATTTCTGGAGAGGGCAGGGTGCTGTTGGCCAGGGTGGAGGTCTCCATGCGCCTGTCCATGCAGGCATTGCATGTGGTTGTCAGGTTTGTTTGCGTGGCGTTTCTAAACGCTGTGGAGCATCTGCGGTCGGGATGGCGGGATGTTGGATGGACAGGGTGAATAAATAGGGAATGGGAAGCAAATGGAAATGGTAACCTCTTCTTCCCTCTTTGCTGCCGAGGTCTGTGAGCCCCTTGCACCAGTGTTCCCATTGCCTTCGTTAAGGACAGCCACAAACCTCCTAGCAGAACTGGGCCTGTGCCCAGTCACCCCCGTAGCTTTTTCTTTTCCCTTTTCTACTCTCTCTCTTTCACACAGACATTTACAAGAACGATGGTTAAGATGGGCTAAAGAACAGCACCAGACTCAGTGCAGAAGCCCCTGACCCTGGGAAGTCAGAGGCAGGTCGTGCACGGGATTTAGTAGCTGAGGCCCATCTTCAGACCTCGGCAAGGAGCCCAGTCCTGCTTCTTGCCTGAGGTTCCTGGTGCTCTCTGTTCTCCTCTGACCAGGACGCATCACACTGCCCCACTGCAGACTGGACCTGCCGCAGTGTGCAGAACATGAGATCTCAGAGACCACGTAATCTCCTCCGTGTGTAACCTTTAGCATGTCATCCCCACTCTGTTTTCTCATCTGGAAAATGGGGATAGTGCTGCTTGCTTGCGTTTGCATGAAAATTTCAATAAAAATTAACATTTTTTCTTTTGTGGCAAAGGCAAGAAAAAGAATGAAGCTCTGTGTACACTTCAGGTCAGTTCTGGTTTTGTCTGACGAGAAAAATCTCTGTCTGGATACAATCCTTGAGGCAGCACCGAAAATAACCCAGAACCCACCTGAGAAAAGCTGTCCTGCATCCTGCCATCTGAGGGTCTAGCCTGTAGTGCCCGAGGCAGAGGTGTGCTCATCTTCTCCCAGTGCACTGCTTGGGCACGGGAGCATGGAAATGGAAATGGTAGGGGGAAGTGTGCAATGAGGTAAGAAAGCCAAAGACAATTTCTTGCTTGGAAATCCTGAGTTTAATGGGCAGTTGAGAGGAAGGAGGGAGGTGTCACTGCAATAGCCAGCTTCGTGGTTTGCATTGTGTGGGCCTGAATGGGCTTAGCTCTTTGTTAAGGGCAGATGTTGTCCCTGGACCCCTTTATTCTCTGCATTGTGGGAAAGCCAGGAGATGAGACATCTCATGAGCACTTTGAAGCAGCCAAAGGATTATGATACAAAATAAGAGACAGCTCTTGGACCATGCCCTAGCTTTTGCCAGCTATATTAAGGGTATTGCCCTTTTTCCTGTATTCTTTGGCTGGCCTTCCTCCAAAAGTTGGTGTCCTGTGTTACCCCTTTCCTAGCAAAGGAGCAATGGTGACAGGCCTTGGAGCTAGGAACTGGCAGGTAGGCATGGCCCAAGCTGGTTGAAGAGACTCTTCGGTGTCAAAACCCATCTTTTTCCCAACTCCTGAGAAGCAGCCCTGACCTTTATTGCAGTATTATAACTGATAGCCAGATGGTCTTTTGGGAGTTGAATTCTTTCCCTTGAAATCATTCAGGCTCAAGCACCGTCACTAATGCCGTGAGTAGTTGCAAGGCACACTTCTATTGTCCCAACCAGAAATGTCATCAATAGGGGAAAAGTATGGGAAAGGCAGAGAAATTCAAACCCACACAGCCTGGTGCTAATAACTCCTTTGTGGAGCCTGCACTTCTGTTGAGGCACGATGAACTCACATGGCTTTTGCACCGAGGAGGGCTGGAAAGCGCCCGTTTCACCGTGCAGGCAGGGGCTCCTCTGAGCTCGGTGTCTACCAGGAGAAAGGGGCAACGTGGGGCAAGGGGGCAGAGACAGGGGTTCGCAGGCAGGGGTGGCCAGCAGGGATGACCCAGCTCGCTGCGGCGCTGGCTGTGCTGGGGGCTGCTGCTTTGCTTCACCGTGCCTTAGTTTACCCTTCTGGGAAATGGGAGCTGTGCTGTTGAACTCTTCCACAGAGCCCTCTTGGATGAGCCCGTGTCTGTGGTGGGGAGGTAGGGACAGGGCTGAGGTGGCCCTCGTGGTGTTCTGGACCACTTGGGGATATGGCCGAAGACCTGCGAGAACAAAGTGGAGGAGGAGCAGCTCCTCTGCACTAGGGGTGGCCTCTTCTCGCTGTCGTGCAGAGGAGCTGCTTTTCTCCCCATCTGCGGGGAGCCTGGCAGAGATGCTGCTTCTCTGGGACACCCCTTTGCCATCACAGCTGCGGAGCAGGGCCTGGCAGGGTCTGTCCTGGGTGGGATCGGGTCTCTGGTCGGCTGTTGTCCCTTCCCCAGGCCAGCCCATGGCCGGCTGCTGGAGCAGGTTCAAAGGAAGGCTTTTCAGGACCGAGCTAGCTCTGGTCTCTCTTTCACAGATTATGTGCCAGTGGCAGCATCGGTGAGGACGACGGAAGCAGTGAGAACACCTACCAGGGTCCCAAGTAGACCTGTGCTGACACATCTGCGTGGAAATGATGATCTTTCAATACTTGATGAAGCTATTGGGTGTGCAGGTTGTGCCACGTTCATACCTTACTATTGCTGGGGGGATGTCTCGTGATGTTTAAGATTCTGGGATTTTTGCATCACAAATCTCTTCATCATCCTCATACTCTTAGGACTCGCTCTGTGGAGGTTTCTTGGGTAAGGTTTCAAGAGACAGGGTACTGCCTGTTTGAGGTGAAGCCTAATAATCCTTTGACAGTTTTTAACTTAGGAGCCACTGCTGACTTTGGTGTCACAGACGAAGACCCCTTCTCGCAGCCCCCCAGGTGCACCTAACCCTGCCTGCCCTGTTCTGCTCAGGGTGTTTTGGTGATATTACATTCTGCACAGTAAATAGTTTAAAAAATGGTTTGGCGTGGGAGGCGATATGTACAGAAATTATCCTGCCAAACTTGCTGTTCAAGATTGGCTGCCTCTGCGCTCACAAGCATAATTCTGCTGTCTGAACGAGCGGAGCGTGAGTGTCGTGAAATCTGCTTCTTTCAGGGGAAAAGGTTATGTTGTTGTTAGACCTATTGTATAAAATATTCCATTAAATGTCATTAGCGTGGCATTATCTTGCCTCCTTTAGACATTAGAACCCTGACAAAAAGGGGTCTTTTATTACTGTAAAGTACATTCTTCACGTTTAACCTTTTTAAATAAATTTTTCTTTAGATCCAGAATGCTTAATAGACTGCCGTTCCCAGGTGCATAAGTGAAGGAAAGTGGACTTTGATCGCTAAGAAACATATGAGACAATTTGATCTGCATTTTTAGGGTTGTTAGATGCAAAAGCAATTTCTATAGCTGCTTGTGTGGGTGACCCTGAAATAGTCATGCACCAATGACATAGTCTTTCTACAGTGAGTATTACAAATAACTAAAAATTAAGGTGAATTTATTATTTTCTGCCCAGCTGAAATTCCCACAAGTCACCTCTCAGCATATTCAAGAGTGCACAAGGGGGATTTATTATTTCCTGGTATATTGACTCTGAAAGGTCTGGGGATTACAGCTGCTTTGCACATGAATAGCTGGAGTGTGTTGTACAAAAGGCATGGTCTGGGGGATAATGGGGTTGGATGTGGGAAAGCGCTGACCCTGGGGGAGAGCAGGCTGGTGCCTGATGGCAGGAATCAATTATGTCTCAAAGGAACACATTGCCCTGGGAGCAGGCTTTGCGGGAGCCACCATGTTATGTGTTTACCACCCTCCTCCTTCAAAAACCCATATAAAACAACCACAGGGTATATCCTGTCCTCCTGTTCTGCCAGGGGACTCGGCTACACCCCGCTCTGTAGTTCTCGAGCGCCGAGTTAGTTATGACGTCAGGAACGTAACTGGTCCCCATCTCAGCAACAGGGCTGAGACCCAGCACCTATCATCTCACAAATGCTACCAGATGGTTTTGAGCTTTGCTCTAAAGCACCCCAGATACTGGTGTCTTCAGTGGGAGCGCACGCTCCCCAAAAGTCCTCTGAAATACCCAGAGCCCATCAGTCAGTCACCTACTCCACTCTGGCCAAGCAAGGAGAACAGCCTGTCATTGACAACGGAGTGGAGGGAGCAAACACAGAACCTTCTGAGTTCATGCAATTCATTGTTTTGGGTGGGTTTTTTTGGAAGACGGTGGCATTCAGTTCTTACAATGGGCTCAGCATCTTTGAGGATCTGGCATCACTGCCAGATGTCGAAATTTGGGCTTCAAGAGACCAAGAAATGGGCTGAAAGTCATAGGGATTTAACAAAAACATTTTGATGTTTCTAATAAAAATATTTTGATGGATTTTTTAAACTTACTTTTTGATTATTAAGTGTTTGGACTTTGTTTGGATTGATATTATTAATTTTCTCTCTTCATAGAATCATGAGGCTTGAACGTGAAGTCTTACTGAAGGCTGTAAGTAGTGTAAGTCTCATGATAAAAATCACAAGACTTACCAAATAGTGCTGCCAAGCATTTTGACAGGGAGAAGGTATCTGCAGAGAGAATATTTCAGAGGAGCGGGTTGAGAATTGGGAGTGTGGTTCCTGAGGTCCGGCCCCAACAACCGCTTGCTGTCATTGACAAGATGGGAATGGTGTGTTCATGCCAGATAGGAGGGCATCACCTCTCCCCTTTTATAAGAGC